CTTATAAGAGTAAAGATATATGTAACAAGGTTTCTTAGAACTATATTCGTCTTATTCTAATACACGGTGAATTGAAATGGCTACTAGCCTGCAAAATGGATGGAAGATGTAACACTATGTGTACATTATATTTTTATGAAATGTCAATGCTTGCTCGCGGCATTTATGTTGACTAACAGAGCTATGTCTGTTAAAAATAAATAAACAATACAATAATCAAAACTAATATATACAATACAAACAATACTGTCAAGTAACGTTAACACAACAGTGAAATTGAACAAATCAAAATTTACAGTTAACAGAACGTTAAACCAATTAAAACCGAAAGGTTTCCAGATCGTGATCACAAATTAATATAATTATCCGAAAGGAGTTCATCCCACAGAGATAGATATAAAATCGGACTCTATCCGATCCCAATAAACCATCCATAAAGCAGTTTAGAAGGCAATAAGTAGAATTTTCAGTGAAAATAATACAATTCACCACCCGTAACCTTAAAAAATGGTACCAAAATCTAGTAAACAAAGTATATAAAATATCACATATATGTATGTATAAATATCACAGATAAATTCGAAAAAAGTGTATATAAAATATCAGCCCCTGTGTGTCCCCTGGTCGGATTTCCTGAAGAAATCTGGCAGTTCGTAGATGGCGTCGTCCAAGATATATTCTCATTGAGTATTCCAACAGGAGATAGATAATAGGGGTTATGCCAGCTGATATCCCTTTGTGCCGCAAAAATCTCGTTCATTAGATGGTTCTCATGATCAGCGAGACGGTCCACAAACTTCCTTTGTAGAGCTAGAGCATACTTGCAAAATGGAGTCACAGAAGCAGTCTCATAGATGAATGAGTTGGAAAATCTTTCCGTATGATTTTTAAAGTTGCGGTTTATACATTTACGTAAAATATTTCTTTCCAGAAGTTCTATCTCTTTCGCAACCGTTGGAGATATGGAAAACCATATTGGAAAAGCATATGTTAAGACGGATCTAATTGCCACTTTGTACAGGAGGAGTTTAGTATTTTTGGGAAAATAAGTACTATTCAGCAACCTAGAGAACATCGAAGCAATGCGTTTAGTTTTTGTCAGAAGTGTTCGTCCATGGCAGTTAAACTTAAAAAGTTTGTTGAAATTAACTCCAAGGTATGTTATATTGTCTTTTATTGGGATTTCTATCCCATTTAGTGTGAGAAGTAGGCATTTACTTTGGGGGACCACGTAGTCTGCACATTTGCCCGATGCGTTTCTAATACATATAGCCTTCGATTTTGCAGCATTTATCTTAATTCCCCATTTGTCGTAGAAATCACGGATAGAACCCAAATGTGCGGCGGTGTTTTTCAGTGCTTGTAATGGCGAATCATTGTGGCTGTAAACCAAACAATCGTCAGCATATAAGATTGCTGTGGAGTTATCTTTTGTATGCGGAAAATCATACAATAATATGTTGAATAAATATGGAGCAAGAATGCTACCCTGTGGTACACCACTGTTCACAAACCCGCACGAGGAAATACTGTCCTTTATTTGAACACAAAATTGTCGGTCTGTAAAGAAACTTTTAAAAAGTTTAACAATAAATGGATCTACAGCGAGTTCTACCAGTTTATACAGGATGCCTTTATGACATGTGTAATCAAACGCCTTCTCGATATCCAGTGATATGGCCAGAGTACAGCATCTTTTCCTCAGATTCACAGTTACATCATCGTGGAATTTCATTAGGGCGTGTTGAGTGGAATGGTGGCGTTTAAACCCAAATTGATATGATGGGATGGGCTCGATCAGAAATTCATTTTCAAGTTTTGATTTGATTACATGCTCAAGCAGTTTGCCAATGTTTGACAGTAGTGAAATTGGACGGAAGTCCTCAGCTCTATTACAACTGCCTTTCTTCTTCATTGGCAAAATTTTCGCTATTTTCCATGCCCGTGGAAAGTAACAATTATTGAGGCAGTTGTTGAAGAGAATAGTCAAAAGCTCAATAGTTGGGTCTGGGAATTTTTTTATCAAGAAATTTGAAATGCCGTCGAGGCCACTGGATTTTTTGTTTTTTATGTTCGATATGATCGATTTAATGTTGTGGACATTTGTAAAATGGTACGCATCCTCATTGTCTAGAGAGTTGAACTCACTATTGAAAGAATATATATGGTGTGATATATTCTCAATATGCGAGCCTACACGATGAGCAAGATCGGCCACCGGATTAACAGGAAGTTTTTCCGTATATATGTTGGAATAGTATTCCTTAAAATACGCAGAACATGTATCACTGTTGGTTACCGTAACGTTGTCAATACAGATATTGTGGCAAAAAGGTGATTTATGTTTCCCAACAATATTATATACCTGTTTAAAAGCATGAGGTCCGGGTTTGATATGTTTTAGTTTGTTGTTAAAAATGTCTGCTTGTTCCATATTAACAAGATCCTTTATAATTGTTTTAAGCAACTGTATTTGCTTAGAAAGTATATTATATTCGTTACTCAGTCTATTTCCATAGCGATGATATATTTTCTTCAATTCCCTTTGCCATCTATATTTAATCTTATAAAAATTTTTAATTTTGTCGGAATATAAAAATTTGCCGTTCTTAATTTCTACTTTCGTTGTATGTAGATCATGAGCAGACTTGAAACTTTCATTAAATTCTACTATAATTTGTTCAATTTCAGTGTTTTCCAAATTTCTGTTATTCGGTGGCATTAAAATATTAGAACTGATAGTTAAGTCCAGTTGAAAACGTTTCCAATCGGTGTTCTTGTAGGAAGTGTAGTAATGGGGGTTATTAAGTAATATATCCGAAGCATTCATATTAATTTCCAATTTCAATGGAAAATGATCCGAGAACGTCGGGAGGGATGAGATCCTGTAGTTGGGGGTGTCATTATTCATCAAGGAAGTGCTTATGAGGTAATGATCTAGAAATGAATTCGCGCTTGGAAATGACGGGTTGTTATGACAAATCCTTGTGATATCCAACGAATGGTCTTCAAGCCAGTTCTGTAAAATATTGCCGTTTTGGTTTCCAGTACTGTCACCCCATGCTTGATTTTTGGAGTTTAAATCGCCACCAAGAAGAAATAGGTCGAAACCATTTGCCACTAGAAGTATTTTGTCCAAACTATTGCGTAAATTATTAGCAGTAGTGTTGCATTTTACATATAGCGATCCAACCAGGATTTTCCTGGTTGTGTTGTTTATTTTCAATTGGAGTTCTAAAAATGTTCCCAGAATACTTAGGTCGTCGATACCAACTCTTTTGTATGAGATGTTATTTTTAAGTGCAATGGCTACTCCAATGGAGGAGTTATCATAAATAAAGTTGTAGTTATTCAAGAAGACTTTTTTTTGTCTACGGAGATGGCATTCTTGTAGAAAACAGATATCTATTTTGTTGCTGTTAAGGGTGTTAGTGAGATCTATTTGACGACTTCTCTCTAAGAGAGATCTGACGTTAAATGTTAAAAAATTGATGATTCTATGGCCCATGAACTTGTTGAACTTTTTTAAGAAGCCGCAGGAACTCCCCTTTGGCTTCTACTTTTGGCCTATTTTTGTACTCGTTCATGAAGTTATTGAGTTCTTGTTCTAGAGTTAGCTCTTCTGGCTCGAGAAAAAATTCAGCAAGTTTTAAAAATGTTTCAACAATTGACGGTTGAACAGGTTTATTGTCCGCAGATGGCTTATGAAAAAAGCTTGCAAATGATTTGGCTGGATTAACTGCTGATGAAATATATTGTTGACGTTGCTGCTAGCAGCACTTTTAATTTCTTGAACCTCACGTAGGCGTTGTTTTTTTCTCGACACATAATTTTTGTAGAATGTGCAGCCTCGCCAATTTGCGGGGTGACCTTCTTCGCCGCAATTTACACATTTTGGGTTTGAGTTGTCGTTTTTATTCCGGTTACATTCACCAGGCAGATGATGTTGGTCGCATTTCACACATTTATAGTCTGAATTACAATTTTTTGCCATATGACCCCAATGTTGACATCGTCTACACTGTATTTCTCTATCCTTTTTCTTTGGCCTTTCCCAGACAACTGACTGGCTAAGTACGAATTTTACGTGCGATATGTCGCTCAAGTTCTTGCCGGGGTGCAAAGTTACAAGAAAAAGACCTGTGTCACAATTGTTTTTCATAGAGTATGGGGTTGTAAATTTTGTAACCTTTGAGATTACATCGGGAGTTATCCCATCCAGGTGTGATTTTAGTTCCTCGATGTCAGTGCCGTGATATAGGCCACGTAGAACTAACGAGATTTGCTTCAGTTCTCTAGGAGTGAATGAATAAGAATTTATCCTCTTCTCCTTAAGTACCGCCATCATTTCCGTATGGACAGTGGCGTCTGAAAGATAAAGTTTGCATTTATTCCTGTTAACATTCTTTATTTTAAAATTTATCTTGGGTGATTTCGCCTCCAGTTGGCTCACCAGATGTTGTACATTAATATTGTACAAAAATATAGGGGGGCAGAATTTGTTACCAGTTGGTGTCGTTGAAGTGGAATTAGTTGGCTTGTCAACAGTGCCGTAATTCCTTGGAGTGCCGGCGGAGTCATCATTACTCTCTATGTCAAGGTCAGCTAGGAGACTGAATCTGTTGCTGCTAATGGGAGCAGCGCCATTGTCCGGGTTTGATATGCTTTTACGTCTCCTCTTGGAATTTTGCTGTTCAACCTTGTTGTCAATAACTTGTCCTTGAGATGCAACGTCGTCAATATCGTGGCAATCCATATGAACATATATCCATAAAATCCAAGGAAAATTGTATCCCACGTATTCAGCACTAAAGACTGAGTGTCTTCAATCCTCCAAGAATTAATGTTGTGTAATTTTCTAAAAATAAAATAAAATCAGCCGCTTTATGTCTTTACTCAACCAAAGAAGCTTGGTAAAACCTGATCAAAAGAAAAACAATACAGTTTACAGCAAGAGTTGCCAGATTAAAAGAAATATTACAAAATAAAATTATTTTGAAATTCTTTTCTTTTTAAGAACATTTGAGGCAGCAGAATATTGTTTTTTTTATATTAAGTTGTATAAAGTAACGATTTTATTTAATATGGAGTATTATAAAAAATGTTCAATATTTGCTTTTTATTTATTAACGTTGAAAATTTAAAAACATAGCTGAAAACTTAGCCGGCTTACAACCGTTTTCAAGCCGCCGCCGAAATTTTAAGTGCCAGCATCCGCCGCCGTTAATGTTTGTCGGCGCAGGTCTCTGGTCGTCGTGCACAGCACAGAAAAGGCGAGTAACCGCGTTATAAAAACAATAATATTATTGTTAAATTGTTATAATAAATTATTAAAACTTGTAATAAAAAACAAGCTTTTTTTGTGGTTAAATTTAATTAAGTTAAATAGCCTAAGGGGAGACCCTTTACCAACTTAAAAATTGTAATAAGAAAAATTTTCTCATTGGTATAAAGTAAACAACAGGAATGAGATAGAAAAAATTTTTTCTTGATGAATATATAAAGGAAAAAGTGGAAAAAAATAAAAATATACCTACACATATACAGAAAAATATACACAAATTTTACACCAACACAAAAACACTACGTGAGTGAAGAAAAAAAAAAATAAAATAAAAAATACGCGACATAGAAACAGCCGCACTAAAACGGGGACGGAAAACAAAAAACGTGCTAAGCTTTAAAATTGTCAAGAAAAAAATTATTTATTTAATAAAAAAACGAAAAATAAACATAATAATCAATAGAAAAAAAGGGTAAATAAATAATAGTGTTAAAATTAATAAATGCCGCCCAGAAAAAAATATATTGAAAACAAAAAAACAAGTTAAAGTTTTTAATGGAAATTAAAATATTCTATATGCTTGCTAAAGTTTTGTGGTAAATAATCAGGGATCAAGTTTTTTTTTGTTAACAATTGTTGAAAATATAAGAAAAATTAATTTGCTGCTTGGTAAGTTTTTACGCAATCGTCGTCGTTGTTTTGTTGGTTTTGGCTGTTTAATGGAGGATTTTTTATTTGCTAAAATTGCTAAATAGCTGCAAGGGTCTTAAAAAGGGGTTGGCAGGGGGTTATGGTTAGAAATGGGTCTTATGAAAACATTTCCTTTAACAAAAAAAACACAGGGTTGGGGTAAGCGGGCCACATATATTTATTTGTGTTTTTGTATTTACGCTTTAAAGCCGAAAAACATTCTAAAAAAATATACAGGTGGAGTCTTGTACAAAAAAAAAACTATGAATACAAAACAAAGCGGCTTTTTTTATATACAATATATATTTTTAACGACGTTGATGATGAGCAAAATAAACCAGCAAAAGAAAAACACTTGGCAAACAGAGTTGTATTTTTATTATACTGTATTTGTATCAGGGTTGGAAAAATTTATACAATTGTACTTTATTTGATATTTGCTGCGCTTCAAAATTTACCTTATTGAAATAATCTAACAAAAAGTGCAAGGGTATATTTAAAATACAATTTCAATAGGCTTATATAGTTCTTTTTATGGGCTAGTCTAATGACTTTTTTATAGTATAGTATATTTAGTCTTTGAATTAATCTTTACGCTATTCTATCTAGTCTATGGATTAGTTTATATGTTGTATATAGAGTAATATTTATAAATTTGTCTTTGGGCTATTATATAGACCAGTCTATTGTATAGTCTTAAGACCCGTCTAGACTACACTATAGTCATTTGGACATTTTCGAGTTTTTTAACTTATCTTTTAATGTTTTTGTTGAAATGTAAAATTTTTTAAATATTATTTTCAGACAGATTTTATTATTATATACGAACGTTTGTAATAATAATATAATATTTTTTATATTGAATCGATTTTTCTGATTTTTTTACAAGATATTCGACTTTTTTTGAACAAAGTATGTATTTGATTTATAGCAGTGGTGCTCAAACACATACTACCATAGACTACCATAGTTTTATTTGTGTTGGTAAAGCAGCAGAGAACAGAATTCAATTCAAAATAAAGTATACTAATAAAATGACTACAAACTATAAAGTATATGCTAACTGTCAAATATTTATTATGGATTTTGACAGCCAGCGTATAGCAACGTCTATATATAAATAACTATCAACTGTTCTCCCATGTTCTCCTACATTAATTCGGCTTTCTCAAAATTTTGTTGTTGTATTTCTGTGTGTATTTTAAAAACGTCGCGCACAGACCTTGCTTTGACAAGTGCTGATCAGCAACTGATTTGATTTTGTTTTTCAAGTTGAGAGCAAACCAACTGATATTGCTCATTATAAAAAGAAGAAGAATTAAACCTATAGTGTATGTGTATCAACTTAGCGTCAGCAGAATTTTCTTACCCTATCACGCGTGCTATGACACGGCCATATTGAGCTTCTCTGATTTATAGAAACTTTGCTGAAATGGTTTGTTTCACAACGAATACAGTTGAACAAATATTTGTTACAATCAGATTTAAAAAGTACAATTCTTAATGCTTGAAACACAATTTGAAAATTCCATTTGCCATCCCTGATGTGAATATAAAATTTTTTATTATTTATTTTGCTATATTATTTGTTTTTAATTGTTTTTTCCTCTTTTTTTCATTTTATACATTACAGTGTGCAATAACAAGAGAAAAGCATTAACAACAACAACATCAAATTAACAACACCACCACCAATAATAAATTATAATAATAATAGCAAAAAACAACAAATACGCACAATATCGATTTTATATGGTTTTTTAAGCCTAAAAAGAAAAGAGGAAAAGAGACAAATAGTCCACAAATGGGAATAGAGCGAGAGAGTGAGATAGTGAGCGAACGATTGAATGAATAGAGCAGAGAAAATAAATAAACAAAAGAAAAACAACCGTAAATTTCATTTACATTTACACACGACAGCACAAAACAATAACAACAACAAGAGTAGCAACAACTACAAAAACATAAAATTCCGCTTAAAAATAAACAACTCTTGAAAATAAGAATAGAAAACAAAAACAACAACAACAACAAAAATTCTTATTGTGTGTTATTGAAAAACCTTGAATAAAGTCCGCTAAAAAACCATAAAAGAGTAGAGAAAAAAAAACAAAAACAAACAATTTGTAAACACGCAAAAAGGAAAAAAATAAAAAAAAAAACAATTAACAGTGTTGCTAAACGTTTGAAAATTTTGAATAAAAAAAAAAACTAAAAACAACAAGCAAATCGTGTGAGTGCGCAACAACAACAATATACGACGATCAGTTTCTTCTTTTTTCGTTAATATTTTTTTTTGCCGTATCAGAATTAGCAGCACAAAACATAACAAGTAATAGAAATACAAAAAAAGGTAAACATTAGCAACTTTATTATTATCCATTTGTTCTCTCGTTCGTTTCGCGTTCATTTATTTATTTAGTCACAACAGTGTGTTTATTATTTTTTTTTTTCATATTTTTATTTTTCGTCACTCGTTGCGTTCGTTTATTTATTTATAAAGCAGTTTTTTTTCTAATTAAATTGTCGTAAGACAAACTTGTTGTAAATAATGTAATTAATATTAAATTTTGTGTTGAGTTTTTATTTTTTTGTTGAAAAATTAAGGTTATGTTTTGTGTGTGGCTGCCGCTCGTTTGGTTGCTGCTGCATACACAACAAGTAACCTAAATTATTTATTGTACATATTAAGAAATTATTTATAAATACAACTAAAAAAAAATATATCATTCATCCAACAATTTAATATCCACGTGGATTAAGTGAAAAAAAACGAAAAGAAATAATATTAATTTTTCTATTGTAATGCAAATAAATGTTTGTTGAGCGATTGTTTTGGAAATTTATACAGTGTGTAGCAAAAGTTTGACATATGGTCGCGCATAGTTTACTTTTAAGGGTCAAAGGTGTATTGTGTTTCAATAACAAATTATTTTAGAGGTTTTTAGTGTTTGTGTTTAAGGATTTTTTTTATGGCTGGTTAATATAGTTTGTTACAAAAGTTTATTGAAAGATGTCAAAGGTCATATTTTTGATAATTACAGGCACCAGAGACAAGCAAACCAATTAGACTCTAATTAGTCCAAGTCGTCCAGGGACCAATAATTATCCAAAAAAAGTACAGTTTTACGCAAAGGAATTATATTTTAATGAATCATCTAAAAGTCTAGCTGCTGGGGTCATAGGTACATGAGCTAATAAACAATAATAGTTCATATGATAAATTTTAAAAATAAGAATCAATATTTATCCAAAAATAAGTTTAGTTTTATGCAAAGGAAACCTTTTATATAAGCTAATAGCCGGTATACCTTTTGCCCGGAAATGAGTCGGCGGAAATTTGTTTTATTTTTAGAAGCTTTGGTTTCGTGCAAAGGAAACTTGTCAATTTTTAATAGTAATACAAAAATGTTATAAAATCGAATTAGAAACTTTTATTTTTCAGTTTCGATATACGATTTCCAACAAAAATTAAAGAACTTATAGATTCTAATTGGATAATTTGAAATGGAAGACTTAAGGCCAACAATATAAACTACATACTAAGTTTTATTTTAACAAGGTTTTATTTTCAGGAAAATTAGATCTAATACTGTAGTCTATGGTCTGCTTTATAATTTAATCTATAGTTTAGGCTACAATCTTGTTAATAGACTAGTTTAGAGTATGGTCTAAAGTCTAGCCTATAGTCTGCTCTATAATCTGGACTTTAGTCTAGACTAAAGTTCAAATTAAAGACTAGATTATAGGCCATATTATACACATGCTACAAACCAGTCTACAGTCTAATCTATAGTCTGGTCTGTAGTCTGGTATATAGTCTAGTGTATACCCTAATCTATAGTCTAGTCTATAGTTGTCTTAGTAAAGCATATATTCAGTTTAATCTAAGGTCTGTCTATAATATATTCTATAGTCTTGTCTAGTCTATATTCCAGTTCATAGTCTAGTCTATAGTTTAGTCTACACACTAGTCTATAGTGTAGTCTAGAAGATATTCTATAGTTTGGTTAATTTTCTATTCTGTTTTATTTCCTAAACATTAATATTATCTATAGTCTAAGCAGTCTGAAAAAACTTATACTTTTATTACAATTTCAGTATCTTACTAGTTCATGGCCACCGGTTCTACAACAACAAATAGAAGCCTTAATATCCCGCCCACCCAATTACTCCAAAATAACAGCAGTAGCAGCAGCAACAACAACAACTCAAATATAAAACTCACAAACAACAATTATAACAACAACAGTAATACAACCACCTTAAAATTAACAACAACAACAGCAACATCTATTAAAAGTGGTCCTTTAACAACCACCAAGAGCAGCAACAACAGCAGCAGCACCACCACCACCACCAACAGTTTAAATAACAGCCTCACCATAAGCAGCAATAATTTAAATACCAGCAACAGCAGCAGTGTTACGGTTACGGCCGACGCTGCCACTGTCGCTATAGCTAAAGATATGTTGCAATTGCATCATGGTTCAGCTCTCAGCAATAACAATAACAATAGCATCAGTAATACTACCAACAATAGTGATGATTTAAATTCTTCTCCTGCTCATAACAACAATAATACGAATTCCTCTTCTGCCTCTTTAAATCATAATAATCGGAATAATTCCAATAATACGACGACAACAACAACCCCACCTGCCCCTTTACAACAATTTCAATTGCAACAACAACAAAGACCACCGCCACCACCCGATCATGCTGTCGGCTATTTAAAATATGAAGATGAATTTCTTTACATCACCGAGGCCTGCACCATAATCGGGTCGTAATTCATCAACATCTCATGTTCATTTTCATGTGGCCGAAAATAATCTAGTGTCGCGCAAACATTTTCAAGTACTGTTTGATGCCGATACTCGTGATTTCTATGTACAATGTTTGAGTAAGAATGGTATATTTGTGGATGATTTCTTGCAGAGGCGCAATGCCGATCCTTTAAAATTGCCAGCAAGGTGAGCTACTTAACTTTGGACTCTTAACAATTTAATTTTATGTTTCTAACTTTCTCCTTTGTGCTTTTAGTTGTTATTTCCGTTTTCCCAGCACTGAGATACGCATACAATTTGAAAGTTTCTTGCATACGGATTCACCCACAAATGTGGTTGTTGGTGGTGTTAATAATTTGAGTAATAACTCTTTGAATAACAATCATCATCATAATATTTCTTCCTCATCCGCCTCTTCTCATCATCTTATAAGTGGCCATGGTGGTGGCAGTGTAGGCAATGTTCATCAAGTTATTATATCACCTGCTTCAGCCGAGGAATTACATCAGCAGCAATTGCATGGTGGCGGCGGCGGAGGAGGTGGCGGTGGCATTCATCAAATGCAGCATATATCATCGTCTCAGCAGCAGCAACAACATTTAAGCTCTTCAGGTGGTTCTCATTTACTACCTATGGATAATTCGAATGTTATTTATTCACCACTTAAAATATCTATACCCAAAAAGGAACAAAAGTCTCCTTATTTATCACCAACTGGCAAGTCAAATTCTTTGTATTTGTTAACTACTATTTTACCTTTGTTTTTATTACGTTTTTCTCTGTTTGTTTTCCAAGATTAGTTTCAGTTGAAATTTTTTCTTTAATTTTCATTTTTATATGATTGAAATCAATTTTTTTGGTGATGAAAAAGTATTTAGTCGAAATTAATATAAAGTTTGTGTTCAATTGCTTTATTTCAAATCAAAATTTTCTTTTTTAAAACCACGCCACGAAAAATAGATATTTGAAAGCTTTTTTTTAAGTTTACTCTATTACAAATTTTTTATTGAACTGAACTAGAACTTAACTAAAACTTAACTGAACTAGGACTGAACTCAACAAGACCTGAACTAGAACTGAACTAGAATTGAACTATAACTGAACTTAAACTCAACAAGAACTGAACTAGAACTCAACAAGACCTGAATTAGAACTGAACAAGAACTGAACTTAAACTCAACAAGAACTGAACTAGAACTGAAATAGAACTGATCTAGAACTGATCTAGAACAGATCTAGAACAGAACTAGAACAGATCTAGAACAGAACTAGAAACAGAACTAGAACAGAACTAGAACTGAACTAGAACTGAACTAGAACTGAACTAGAACTGAACTAGAACTGAACTAGAACTGAACTAGAACTGAACTAGAACTGAACTAGAACTGAACTAGAACTGAACTAGAACTGAACTAGAACTGAACTAGAACTGTACTAGAACTGTACTAGAACTGAACTAGAAATAAACTAGAACTGAACTAGAACTGAACCAGAACTGAACTAGACTGAACTAGAACTGAACTAGAACTGTACTAGAACTGAACTAGAACTGAACTAGAACTGAACTAGAACTGAACCAGAACTGAACTAGAACTGAACTAGAACTGAACTAGAACTGTACTAGAACTGAACTAGAACTGAACTAGAACTGAACTAGAACTGAACTAGAACTGAACTAGAAACTCAACTAGAACTGAACTAGAACTGAACTAGAACTGAACTAGAATTGAACTAGAACTGAACTAGAACTGAAATAAAACTGAACTAGAACTGAACTAGAACAGAAATGAACTAGAAATGAACAAGAAATGAACTAGAACTGAACTAGAATTGAACTAGAACTGAACTAGAATTGAACTAGAACTGAACGAGAACTGAACTAGAACTGAACTAGAACTGAACTAGAACTGAACTAGAACTGAACTAGAACTGAACTAGAACTGAACTAGAACTGAACTAGAACTGAACTAGAACTGAACTAGAACTGAACTAGAACTGAACTAGAACTGAACTAGAACTGAACTAGAACTGAACTAGAACTGAACTAGAACTGAACTAGAACTGAACTAGAACTGAACTAGAACTGAACTAGAACTGAACTAGAACTGAACTAGAACTGAACTAGAACTGAACTAGAACTGAACTAGAACTGAACTAGAACTGAACTAGAACTGAACTAGAACTGAACTAGAACTGAACTAGAACTGAACTAGAACTGAACTAGAACTGAACTAGAACTGAACTAGAACTGAACTAGAACTGAACTAGAACTGAACTGAACTGAACTAGAACTGAACTAGAACTGACTAGAACTGAACTAGAACTGAACTAGAACTGAACTAGAACTGAACTAGAACTGAACTAGAACTGAACTAGAACTGAACTAGAACTGAACTAGAACTGAACTAGAACTGAACTAGAACTGAACTAGAACTGAACTAGAACTGAACTAGAACTGAACTAGAACTGAACTAGAACTGAACTAGAACTGAACTAGAACTGAACTAGAACTGAACTAGAACTGAACTAGAACTGAACTAGAACTGAACTAGAACTGAACTAGAACTGAACTAGAACTGAACTAGAACTGAACTAGAACTGAACTAGAACTGAACTAGAACTGAACTAGAACTGAACTAGAACTGAACTAGAACTGAACTAGAACTGAACTAGACTGAACTAGAACTGAACTAGAACTGAACTAGAACTGAACTAGAACTGAACTAGAACTGAACTAGAACTGAACTAGAACTGAACTAGAACTGAACTAGAACTGAACTAGAACTGAACTAGAACTGAACTAGAACTGAACTAGAACTGAACTAGAACTGAACTAGAACTGAACTAGAACTGAACTAGAACTGAACTAGAACTGAACTAGAACTGAACTAGAACTCAACTAGAACTGAACTAGAACTCAACTAGAACTGAACTAGAACTGAACTAGAACTGAACCAGAACTGAACTAGCACAGAATTCACTCTCTTAAACGAAAAAGAATACAATTGTCTTTAAAACATATTGTCCTTTAATAAAGAGAGTAAAATTTTCTATACAATATGTTGCTCTCTTCTATAGAAAATGTCGCTCTCAAAAGTTTCTAAAGAAAATGTCGATCTCATATACAAATAGCAATATCTTATAAAGAGCACGAAATTTTCCATAGAAACAACACTCATTTATTGAGATATAGTAAAATTTTTCAAAATCGATTTATTTTGAATCAAATTACAAAACAACAGATAAATATCAAAGTTTATTAAACTTCACCTTCTCCCCATTTAGTTCTTATACAAAATTTTGAATAAATTGATTTGCTACTTTACAAAAGTACATAAAACCAGCAATGAAACTACATACCTCTAAAACTAAGTTCCCCAAAAACGAAGAGTGGGAAAAATAATAACAAAAACAATAAAATCATTAAATAGAACAATAAAAAAACACAAAAATCCATACATTTACCCCACATCAAACTAAAATAAAACATCCCTAAATAAAACTAATGCTCTAATAATAAAAAAAACTTTTAACTTATTCCCCTTTAGGTACAATAAGTGCAGCCAATAGTTGTCCGGCTAGCCCGCGTCAAGGTTTTCATCAGAATCAAAATAATTATAATAATTATAGTAATAATAATTTACAAAATGTAAGTAAAAACACAAACACAATTTTTTAAATAAAACTTTATTAATTTATGGTATTCCATTTATTTGCAGCAACAAGATTTATTCCAAACGCCCTCAACGGCCAGTTATAATCATAATGAGAAACCACCTTACAGTTATGCTCAATTAATTGTACAGGCTATATCCGCAGCACCAGATAAACAATTGACATTGTCGGGCATTTATTCATTTATTGTTAAACATTATCCTTATTATCGTAAAGAAACTAATAAGGGTTGGCAAAATTCCATACGTCATAATCTCAGTTTAAATAGGTTTGTAAATAAAGAAAAAAAACTAAAACAATTATTCTAATTATTGCATTACATTTTTGTTTATTTTCCCAGGTATTTCATAAAGTTGCACGCTCTCAAGATGAACCCGGCAAGGGTAGCTTTTGGCGCATTGATCCTGATAGTGGCGCCAAATTAATAGATCATAGCTATAAGAAACGTCGCCAACGCAGTAGCCAAGGTTTTCGCCCATCGTATGGCATGCCACGTTCAGCACCTGTTTCACCAAGTCACATGGGTAATTATACTTATTTTGGTGTGTAATATTTTTTCTTCTGCATTGCATAAATTTATTTTAATTTTCATTGTGTGATTTCATTTTGTTTTTTTCTTTTTCTTCCAACTTTTTTTTTTGGTTGTTGTTAATTTTGTTTGTGTTTTTTTTATGTTTTTTGTTTACTTTTTTGCTAATTGTAGAATATTCGGCTGATAATTCACGTGAAAGTTCACCGCTACAAGATATTGTTCTACAATCAGCACCTGGTTCACCAGGCATGTCTTTGGAAAATCGTAATGTTGATAATGGTGAGTATGAGATAAAAATAAGTTATAATTTCTTAAATAAAATGGCTTTCACCAGAAATTTGTTACTCTTTATAACAGAGTGTTATTTTCTAACTGCACTAAATCTAAACTAGAACTGAACTAGAACAAAACTGGAACTGAACTAGAACTAGAACTGAACTAGAATTGAACTAGAACTGAACTAGAACGGAACTAGAACTGAACTAGAACTGAAGTAGAACTGAAGTAGAACTGAACTAGAACTGAACTAGAACTGAACTAGAACTGAACTAGAACTGAACTAGAACTGAACTAGAACTGAACTAGATATGAACTAGAACTGAACTAGAACTAACTAGAACTGAATTAGAACTGAACTAGAACTGAACTAGAACGGAACTAGAACTGAACTAGAACTGAAGTAGAACTGAAGTAGAACTGAACTAGAACTGAACTAGAACTGAACTAGAACTGAACTAGAACTGAACTAGAACTGAACTAGAACTGATAGAACTGAACTAGATATGAACTAGAACTGAACTAGAACTAACTAGAACTGACTAGAACTGAACTAGAACTGAACTAGCAAACTGACTAGAACTGAACTAGAACTGAACTAGATATGAAATTAGAACTGAATTAGAACTGAACTAGAACTGAACTAGAACTGAACTAGAACTGAACTAGAACTGAAGTAGACTGAAGTAGAATCTGAACTAGAACTGACTAGAACGGCAGTAGAACTGAAGTAGAACTGAACTAGAACTGAACTAGAACTGAACTAGAACAGAACTGAACTAGAATTGAACTAGAACTGAACTTAGAACTGAACTTAGAACTGAACTAGAACTGAATTCCTAGAACTAAACTAGATATGAACTATCGAACTAGAACTGAACTAGAAACTGAATCTAGAACTGACCTGAACTAGAACGTGAACTAGAACTGAACTAGAACTGAACTAGAACTGAACTAGAACTGAACTAGAACTGAACTTAGAACGGAACTGTAACGGAGGGAACCACTAGAACTGACGTAGAAACTGAAGTAGAACTGAAGTAGAAACTGAACTAGAACTGAACTAGACTGAACTAGAACTGAACTAGAACAGGAACCTGAACTAGAACTAACTAGAACTGAATAGAACTGAACTAGAACTGAACTAGAACTGAACTAGAACTGAACTAAACTGAACTAGAACTGAAGTAGAACTGAAGTCGAATTGAACTAGAACTGAACTAGAACTGAACTAGAACTGAACTAGAACTGAACTAGAACTGAACTAGAACTGAACTAGAACTGAACTAGAACTGAACTAGATATGAACTAGAACTGAACTAGAACTAACTAGAACTGAACTAGAACTGAACTAGAACTGAACTAGAACTGAAACTAGATATGAATTAGAACTGAACTAGAACGAACTAGAACTGAACTAAACTGAACTAGAACTGAACTAGACTGAACTAGAACTGAACTAGAACTGAACTAGAACTGAAGTAGAACTGAACTAGAACTGAACTAGAACTGAACTAGAACTGAACTAGAACTGAACTAGAACGAACTAGAACTGAAAACTGAACTAAATAGAACTGAACTAGAACTGAACTACTAGAACTGAACTAGAACTGAACTAGAACTGAACTAGAACTAGAACTGAACTAGAACTGAACTAGAACTGAACTAGAACTGAACTAGATGAAAAACTGAACTAGAACTGAACTAGAACTGAACTAGAACTGAACTAGAACTGAACTAGAACTGAATAGAACTGAACTAGAACTGAACTAGAACTGAACTAGAACTGAACTAGAACTGAATAGAACTGAACTAGAACTGAACTAGAACTGAACTAGAACTGAACTAGAACTGAACTAGAACTGAACTAGAACTGAACTAGAATGAACTAGAACTGAACTAGAACTGAACTAGAACTGAACTAGAACTGAACTAGAACTAAACTAGAACTAAACTAGAACTGAACTAGAACTAAACTAGAACTGAACTAGAACTGAACTAGAACTGAACTAGAACTGAACTAGAACTGAACTAGAACTGAACTAGAACTAAACTAAAACTAAACTAGGACTGAACTAGAACAGAACAAGAATTGAACTAGATCTGAACTTGAGGGTATAACTTTCTATAGAAAATATTCTGCCTCTTATAATGAGAGTAAATTTTCTTAAAAAATTGATTCTCTTTATAATAATTTATCTTTTTTACAGAAATTATTTATCAAAATCAGAATATTCAACAATCCAGCGCTAATAATACCCAACAATTCAGGTAAATTTAAAAATCTCTTCTTACTCTCCTCATTTACTAACATCATTTCTTTCACTTCACTTGTTTACTTACAGCAGCAGCCCCTATTATATAACAAATCAAAATACGATTTATAACACAACAACATCAACAGGAAATAGGTGGTGGTGGTGGCGGCGGCGGAGGTGGTGGTGTAGGTGCTTTAATTGCTCTCAAACGTAATCATGCAATGGCTGCTGGTACTGGTGGTGGTGGTAATACGGTGGTAACTTTGCAACAGCAGCAGCAACATCATCAACAAAATCTACAAGGTCTACATCCAGACATTATCTATGAGGAAATGCCCACAGATTATAGTGGTAATATGGAATCAGGTGATGATGAATGTGATGCTGGTGCCAAAAGGCCAAAAGTTGAAGTACTCTGATGTGTATGACAACAGCAACAACAAGAAAACGTAAAAAAGAATAAGTAAAAGAAGAAAGAAAAAAAAAAACAACTACAACTACGGCTAGTGTTGTTGACAAATAATTATCATCATTATATATAACAAAAGAAAAAAAAAAACAACAAAAATATGAAAACCAACAAAAAATTACATTTATGTTTTATTATGTACGCTTTAATTTTACAAAATTTACTATACACCCTACACACACCAACACACATACTACATCAACGGCATCAAAAGCATTATCATCCAACACCGACTCCTCCCCGCCTCTTAACACTCACTGTAAAGTGGAGCCTTCAATCAACATTAATGTTCTCTCATACATCTTTTTTCTTTGCTCTTAAGCCCTGGTAATTTAGTTTTAACTTTAATTACATTTCTATAGATTCTACTTTTACCTGCCCCAGTTTTCTTTTTTTAACAAATTTTTTTTCATTAATTCTCTATTTTAATTATAATTTCCTCCCCAAACATTTTCAACGTTTAAATTGTAACGTTATTAATTAATTTTTAATCTAAACTACTACAACACACCTAAACACACAAAAATGTATTGTTTTAAACACTTTTTTTTAATTTTTTAATTATCTAAAGTATATTGAATTTGCTGACCCTTTAATTAAACTTTTGTTTTTTAATATAAAGCTATAGTTTATATATATATTTTTTTGTTAAATATAAGTTTGCGTTAAAAAAGGAATTAATTTTTTTATCCGTTAAACGGATATTGCTCTCATTTAACTTCTTTTTTTTTAGAAAAAAAAAAAAACGTATGTAATTACAATGATTTTATGTTGTTAAATATAAACTTAATAATTAATTGTTTTTTTCACAAAAACACGTTTTTAACGACGAATTCAATATGCTTTGATGATGGCTTAAACAACAACAAAAATAACTAATTGGTTACACAAAAGCAAAAGTCTTTATAAATAATGTTTATTATATATTGATTTAAACAAAACTAAAAAAACAAACAAAAGAAATCTGTTTTTATTATTATAACAAATGTTAGTTTTCTTTATGAAAAGAAAATGTTTATTTTGTGTCGGTTTTTTAAGTTAAAATTTAAGAGAAAATCGTATTTATATCAGGCATGGATAATTTTAAAATAATACTAACTTATAACAAAAATAGTACTTTTTTAGATTTTAGACTATAGACTCGACTATAAACTTGACTATAGACTAGACTATAAACAAGACTATTAACTAGATTATAGACTAGACTATAAACTAGACTGTAAACTAGACAATAGACTAGACTATACCATAGACTAGACTGTTGACTATACTATAGACTAAACTATAGAGTAGACATTAGACTGGACTATAGACTAAACTATAGACTAGACAATAGATTAGACTATAGACTAAGAATTGATTGCAGAATATACTATAGACTAGACAATGAAGTAGACTATAGAATAAACTATAGACTAGACTATAGACTAGACTATAGACTAGACTATTGACTAGACTATAGACTAAACTATAGACTAGACAATAGACTAGACTATAGACTAAACTATAGACTAAACTATAGACTAGACTATTGACAAGACTAGACTATAGACTAGTCTACAGACTAAACTATAGACTAAACTATAGAATATACTATATACTAGATAATAAACTAGACTATAGACTGAACTGTAGACTAGACTATAGGCTATCTACAGACTAGACTATAGACTAAACTATAAACTAGTCTGTAGAATAGACTATATACTAGACTATAAAGTAGACTATATACTAGAATATAAAGTCGACTATATAATAAACTATAGACCAGACTATAGACTAAACTATAGATTAGACTATGGACTAGTCTATAGACTAGATTGTATAATAGACTATAGACTAGAGTATAAAGTCGACTATAGACTAGACAAAACTATAGACCAGACTAGACTTTAGACCAGACTATAAACTACACTATAGATTAGACTATAGCTTAGACTATACTACGGATTATACTGAGTCTATCTGATTTTATAAAGAAATCTACTCTCTCCTTATAATCGAGTTTTCTTTTTATAAGAAAACAAATCTTTTTATAGAAAATTATTCTCTCTTTTAAGAGAGTCAAATTTTCTTTGGAAAATAGAGTTAAAGTTTCTATAAAGAATTTGTCTCCTTTATAAGAGAGTAACATTTTCTATAGAGAATGGTTCTCTCTTTATAAGAGAGTAAAATTTCCTATAGAAAAATGGTCTCTCTTTTTAAGAGAGTAAAATTTTCTATAGAAAATTTTTTATAAGAGAGTAACATTTTCTATAGATAATTGTTCTCTCTTTATAATAGAGTAAAATTTTCAAAAGAACATTTATCTCTTAATAAGAAAGTAAAATTATTTAAAGAAAATTTTTCTCTTTTTATAAGAGAGTAAAATTTTCTACAGAAAATTAGTCTCTTTTTATAAAAGAGTAAAATTTTCTATGGTTAATTTATCTCTCTCTATAGGAGAGTAAAATTTTTTATAGAAAAGGTGTCTCTATTTATAAGAGAGTAAATTTTTAGATAGAAAATGTTTTAGTCTTTATGAGAGAGTAAAATTTCTATAAAATATTGGTCTCTCTTTATAAGAAAGTAAATTTTTAGATAGAAAATGGTTATCTCTTTTAAAGAGATTAAAATTTTCTTTAGAAAAATGTTTTCTTTTTAAAAGAGTTACATATTTTCTATAGCAAAAGTTTTTCTCTTTAAAAAGAGCCTCTCTGGTGTAAAAAATTTAAAAACTTTTATAAAACTTAAAAAACTTAACATAAAATAAACATTTTAACCTTATTTTTTTTATCGCTAAATAACAAATTAAATAAATTTTTAGCATAAAAATAAAAGAAGTTCAACTTAAGTTTTAAATATCTTAGAAAAAAACGCAACTATTATTCTCTAAAGAGCAGTTAAATAAATTTAAAAATAAATCACCAGCAACTGTTAAGGTTGAACTTCGAAAAAACTATTTTAGGCACTACCATCTCTACGCTAAACATTAAACAGAAATTTAAAAACAAAATATAAAAAAAAAATTAAGCAAAATTCGTATATACAGAGTTGTTAGAAATTCTCTTTAAAATAACAAAAAAAAATATAAGAAAGAAAAAAAAAACTATAAAAAAATAAAATAAAACCTCCCCCTTTTAAAAAATAACTAAAGTAAAAGTAAAAAATTATAATAAATCCAAAAAAAAAAAAAGAAAAGAAAAGAAAACATAAAATGTGCAGCAGCAGTGAATATTAAAAGAATAAAATAAAAAAATGTTTACCTTTTTATAGAAAGTTATATAAACAAAATAAAGCAAAACCGCATAAACTATACCTACATCTTATATAACACACACGATTCTATATACATTAACTATATAAGTAATAAAAACAAATTAATTAAATCCCTTAAAATAAATAAAAAAAGGATATAAAAAAATAATTAAAGTAAACAAACAAGCGAACAGGAAAAATAAAATGAAAAAAATTGTAAAATGATTGCACTTTATTTCATAAACAAAAATATATAATAATAAAAATAAAGAAAACTCCCCCTCATATAAATGTTTGGACAAGATGTGTATTTGAACCAAAAAAAAAAAAATAATAATAATAAAAAATAAAATAAAAAAATTGAATTTTTCAATTTAAGATTATGTTTAAGTTCTTTAAGAAAATGTTAGGTTATTTTTGTCGAAATTACGGTTATAAAACAAAACAACAACAAAACAATTTTGATTTTATTTTATTCATATACTATATACTTCAAATTAAAAACGCATAAAATAATTAAAGATTTAAAAAAAAATTAAAAGATTTTTTTTTCATTTCCTTAAGTAAACAATACAATTTTAAAAATTTTCTTTAGAAGTCAAAAGTTCTTTACAACAGTTTCACATTTTCTATAGAAAATCAAACATTTCATATTTTCCTTAGAAAATTAATGGCTCTTTACAAGAACTTCACTTTTTCTAAAGAAAATAAATTGCTCTTTACAAGAACATCAAATTTTCTATAGAAAATCAATCGCTGTTTCAACAATTTCACATTTTCTATAGAAAATCAATCTCCATTTTCACAAGCTTCACATTTTCTATAGAAAATCACTCACTCTTTACAAGAACTTCATATTTTCTAAAGGAAATCATTCGCTCTTTACAACAACTTCACATTTGCTATAGAAATGCAATCTTTTTTAGAACATTTTCACATTTCGATAGAAAATCACTCACTCTTTACAAGAACTTCATATTTTCTAAAGGAAATAGTTCGCTCTTTACAAGAGCTTCACATTTTCTATAGAAAATCACTCACTCTTTACAAGAACTTCATATTTTCTAAAGGAAATCATTCGCTCTTTACAACAACTTCGCATTTGCTATTGAAATGCAATCGTTTTTTAGAACATCTTCACATTTTCTATAAAAAATATTTTCTAAAAGAAATAGTTCTCTCTTTACAGGAGCTTCACAATTGCTATAGAAAAATCAATGGTTTTCTATAGAGAGTCATCACTCTTTTTTTTTAATAACTTCTTATTTTCTATAGAAAATCAATCGCTT